GCAGCTTCCTTGTGCAGGGGATGGAGACTGAAGGGTTTGTTAGCGCTGTGGAATGGGAAATGTGGACGCGGCAATGTTACAGGCCCTGGTGGAGTCCCGGCTTAAGACAGCATACAAGCAGTCTGTGCTCATCATGAGCTCTGATGACATTGTAGAGGTTCTCCCATGATTAATTGTTCAACTACCAGAATAATGAAAAAGGAACAGGAAAGACCCCAGAGTCAGGCCTCACTCCAGGCCATGGGTCCCACCTTACCCATGGAGATGGGCATGGACCACCACCTTGCATCCTCTCTGTCCAGGAGGGAGGTGAGTGTTGATACCCATGATGCAGAAGGAGGTGGACTAGCCAGGCTGAGTGTATGTGATGATACAGACGGTGACTTCATAGGCCTGGCTCACTGGACAAGGCTAGCAGTGAAGAGGATGGAGACACTCAAGAGACCCAAGGTCAGCAGCCATCAAAACATCCTAATGCTGCAAACTTCAATTAGGACCCAGATTCCATAAGGTCAAAGAGGGCAAGGCAGTGATCCCCAGCTGCGAATTCATCTGCTCTTGTGGACACAAGGTCTTCCGTGGAAGGGTGTGGCGTCAGGGACTTGAGGCGGTGTCCGCTGCCAGGCAGCAGCAGAAGCCCTGGACTCCGGCCCACAGAATGGCCCTGCCCATATCCATGGCAGGGCTGCCCTCTTTAGTTGAGCTTCCTAGATACACCCTCTAGACACACCCGGAGGTGGGTTTCCAAGGTGATTCTAAATCTAGTCAGGTTGACGAGTCCCTGTAACCATGCCTTTCCACAGGGAGGCCAGCATGTACCCTTCCTTAGCCAAGGTGCAAGAAGCCAGGCATTTGCTCACAGCAGTGAGAAAGGTAACTAAACGGAGGAGACTCAGTGTCCAGCTCCCAAGCTGTTTAATGCAGATGGTGTTTGCTTTTGAAAACAAAGTACCAACTTTAAACAAGTCCCCTCAGGCCAGAGGTGCCCCCTGGCTGCCCGGAGCTCAGCGTACTGCTCAAGAGGAGCGCTGCGGTAGTAGTGTTGACCCTCACGTTGGCGCTACATTTCCTCTTCCTCTCCTTACTTTATCTTTGTGGTTCTCTGAATCCTTCCTGCTCTCCTTCCTGGAGGGATCTCCAAAAAAAAATGGTGCGTGCCTTCTTCTCAGACAGTGCTATGAGACTTGGGTGTTAATGTGGGCTGAGTCTGAGGATCCTGGACGCACAGATCTGAACCAAGAAGTAAATTGACATGAATATTTGCCTCAGAAAACATCAACAGTTGGTTCTTTCTTTTTTAATTTAATTTTATTTTATTAATTACACTTTATTCACTTTGTATCCCCCCATAAGCCCCTCCCTCCTCCCCTCCCCATTCCACCCTCCCCCCTTCTTCACGCATGCCCCTCCCCAAGTCCACTGATAGGGGAGGTCCTCCTCTCCTTCCTTCTGATCTTAGTCTATCAGATCACATCAGGAGTGGCTGCATTGTCATCTTCTGTGGCCTGGTAAGGCTGCTCCCCCATTAGGGTTAGGGGGAGGTGATCAAAAAGCAGGCCAATCAGATTATGTCAGAGGCAGTCCCTCTTCCCATTATTATGTAACCCACTTGGACACTAAACTGTCATGGGCTACATCTGTGCAGGGGTTCTAGGTTATCTCCATGCCTGGTACTTGGTTGAAATATGAGTCTCTGGGAAGACACCTGTGTTCAAATTTTCTGGTTCTGTTGCTCTCCTTGTGGGGTCCCTGTCCTCTCCAGATCTTACTATTTTCCATTTCTTACATAAGATTCCATTCACTCTGCCCAACAGTTGGCCATAAGTCTCAGCGTCTGCTTTGATAGTCTGCAGGGCAGAGCCTTTCAGAGGCCCTCTGTGGCAGGTTTCTAGGTTGTTTCCTGTTTTCTTCTTCTTCTGATGTCCTTCCTCTTTCCCTTTTGGGATGGGGACTGAGCATTTTAGTCAGGGTCCTCTCTCTTGATATCCTGAGTGAGCTGTCCCAGAAGCAGAAAGACACACACAGTACATACTCACTCATATAGACATATAACATAGGATAACCTACTAAAATCTGTACATCTAAAGAAACAGTTGGTTCTTAAGTACCATCTTGAGCATGTCTTCATTTATGGTGGCTATTGTTTATGAAAGCAATAGGATTCGCTGCAGAGCAAAGTCAATGTAAATGGCTCCACAGGAAGGTTCCCTTAACAAGCTGGTGGAGGCAGAGGGCAAGTAAGTCTCCCTGAAGTCAACTTCAAACCTGCATGTACCTTCCAGGGGAAACAACCTTTGAAAGCGAAGTCTGGAAAACCTGGCTAAACATACTCGAGCATCCTAGGGAAGTACCAGAGAGTGAAGAGGAGGTGAGAAAAATACTGCCTTGCCTACAGGGAGAGAGGTAACCGGAACTAACATTAATTTGACCAAAAAAAGATTGATTAGAGTTCACTGGGACCATGGCCCTCAAAGTAAAACAGAGAAGAGAAGCTAAATTTACAGCCGAAAGGAGAGTCTGCAGGGTCTCACCTATATTGAGGCAGGGCTAAGCTTTCTAAAAGCTGGTCTGTTTGGTGGCTTCCAAAAGCACATTTATTTGGCTATGAAGGTCTTTCTTAGTAAACTCAACTTTAGATAAACAGGACACGCAGCAAGGCAGGTTTTAATATCAACATCAGAAAATTTGTTTTCATCCTGGCAAGCCACACATAGTATAAATTTGTCACTTCAGCCATTTTCAAGTGCAGTGTTCATGGACACTAAGTATCTCGCTGTTTCTGTGTGGCTCCCTCCCTCCACCACCCATCCCCAGGGCCTTCCTCTCATCAAAACTAAAACTCTGAAACACAAGAAACAGTAAGCTCCCCTTATCCAAGCCCCGGGGGAATAACTATCCTACCTTCTCTATGGTTTTGACTGTTATAGGTCCTTTCTATAAATGTGACCATGGTGTTAAATTTAAAACAAACAACAAAAACCAGAGCAATGCAGAAACACATGCAAAATGGACTCACTCAAGCTGAAATCCATGTCATTAAACAGAAATTAAGCTGTTTTCTGACCTTTTGAGGAATCAGCAAAATATCAAGAGCCCATAGATTGCTCAGAGGTAAAGGTGCCTGCACTCAGGCCTTACATCCAACTTCCCAAATCTGCCTTGTGACCTATATGCACACTCACTCACAAATAAACCCATTTCCCAAATAGGCCCGTTAGCTGGAGTTCTCCCCAACACGGAACACAGCGGCTAAGGGAAGGGATGATAACCAAGCAGGTGCCTTCCTGCTGCTCTGGCTCCTGGCCCCACCTTAGAAAGAACACAGACCAAAGTCTACTGTTTCTCTGTTCTTCAGCCTTACTCTGCTACAGTGCCAACCTCGTCTGTCCCCTTTTATATTCACATCTAGGAGGGAACTGCTAGACCACATAGTAATTTTAGGCTTAATTATTTGGGGAACACCATGGGGTGTCCCACTGCTATTGAGCTTTTTTTTTTATCCCTGCCCACAATAGACACAATAAACATGGGTGTTTCTCAGCACCCATGCCGATACTTCTTATTTTCTGTTTTCACTTGTGTTTAAACAGTGACCATCCTAATGTGTGTAAAAGAGAAGTTGTAATGACTAATTCTGTACCACACTGGGCTCAGCAAGAGGTGGGGGGGGTCCTTGGGGTGCTGTGACAAAGACTAGACAGGCTGACATGTTCAGTCACACGTGGTGCACTGTCCAAATGTCTGGTCACAGGGTGAGCTGGGCCCAGGATGCAGCACAGTTCACATACCAAGCTATGAACTGCCCCTTCTGGGAGGAGCAGTAACTTTTCTTTCGGGAAGATAATCTCAGCTTGCCAAGCTGTAGTCACAAACGCTTACCTCTTCAGTGCAAGCTGGGAAAATTACTCTGGCTCCTTCTTGCTATAGATAGACACCAAATTAATGGACAGAGTTATCCCTGGTCCAACAGAACTAGAGACATACCAAAATCCTTTCCACCGAGGTGTTCTGCTGATCTCTGTGACAGTTCTACAAAATGGCCCCTGAATTCCGTGACACTCTTCATATTGATAAGGGGGAGGGGGTCTCTGTGCCCTAGCTCTAAACTGGGCGCAGCAGCAAACAGAACTGAGCAAAGCTCCTCGATGCCAGTAGGTGATTAAGTAGGTGATGGTTTCTACTTCCTCTCTAGGGGGACATTTGTTTTTGGAATCTAGTCACCACAATGTGAGGAAGCTGTTGCTAAAATTCCTTTCCAGGTGGGAGATATAAGTCCTGTCTACCACTTCTCCTCAAGGTCCGAAAAACAAACTGAGGTTAATTTCCACTACAGTTACTGCAGGGAACCAATGAGTCCCTGGAATCCATACAGGCAAGCCTCCTTCCCGCAAGACCCTGGAGTTTGGCCCTTATTTCTCCCTCTACCTGCCCATCTTAGCACACAATCTTGACACGGTCTTGGGATGAAGACACTACCTTCTGTACGGTTTCCCCATTATCATCCCAATTTGAGGCATTATCCTGCCCTGGAACCTTCCACTGACTCCCCAGATCCCCTCTTCGCCTTGGGCAAAGGCTTTGTAGTCTCGCAGGGCACACTTGATCCAAAGCCAAGCTGACCACCTGGGCTCCATAACTTCCTCTAAGGTGAGGAGTACTCGCTAAGCGAAGTAGACAGGGGACGTGGGAGACACAACCCTTGGAGCCTGGCTTCCCCTGCTGGTCAGATCCGCCTGTGCCCACTGCTCAGTGCTTCGAGTCTCTTCCTAAAGCCTGGCACAACTCTTGAGTCTGGTCTGTTACTCTCTACTCTCAAACCCTGCCCCTCCTAGACCCACCCCTAACTCCATCTCAGGAAGGAAACAGTTAAAGATTCCTGCCCTTCAGGGCCTGGCGGGGGCAGCAGCCTTGCAGCTTGGTGGCCGCTCCCTGGAGGGCAGGCGGGATCGGACGCCCCGGCAGTTCTGTTCCTGAGTGGAGGGGACGGTCTGGGAGCCGGAGGAGCCTGGGGAGGATCGCGGGAGGCGTGTTTCTCCGGAGTTTGCTTTTCCTCGGGAGCCTCGCGCGCGCGCGCACCGATGCCTCTGGTCTGGCGACGGGGCTGAGGAGGTGGCGAGCCTCTCTCTGATCCACCGGACCATCGCCGGAGGTTTCGGGCTGGGCAAGATCTCTCCGCAAGGAGCCGGGCTCTGCCGGGGAAGTTTCCCCCAGCCGAGGCAGTGCTGCAGCCCCGGCCACCCGCCACCCTGCGCGCCATCCTCCTTCTCCAACTCCGGCTCCGTCTGGTCCGGGCGCGGACCTGCCTGCGTCCGAGGAGCTCTAAGGTCGGTGCAAGTCTTTCCTACCGGGAATCAGGGAGACAGGGGCAATCGGCCAGTAGGAGCGGGCTGTCGTGTAGCGGGGGTGAAACGCAGCAGGCCGGCCTGGCACCCACCTGCCTGGGCTTCCCAGGGTGGGGAGAGCTCTCCTGGGAGACGCGGGCTGTGTGCGTGTTGTGGGGCGGGGGGGGGGGGGGGGCGACTATTGAACTTTGAGCATAAACCCAAAGCATTTTACACCCTCAGGCCAGACTCGGATTTTGGGGGAAAGGGAACCCAGAAGTTCGCCCAGGGGTGTCTTTCTCCGCAGGCAGACCAGAGCTTTCGGGATTATCAGTGCCCAGGGCGCTTGCTCCAAAGCCTCCTGGTGAAGTTGGCCCTGCTCGATGAGAGTCAGCCTCCTCTCACCCGCACCCTGGGTGCGGAGCCAGGACCCTTACAGTGAATAACAGACGTGCGTGGGAGCCCTCCTCGCCCCTCTGCAGCGGGGCTGCAAGTCTGTCAGTTGTTGGCGGTCTGGCTGTTTGCTCAGTGCTGCCCTTTAAAGGGCACTTGTTGCCTTTCATGTGCAGAGCACTGGAGCTGTTTGTAGATAAGTCCGTTCTGTTTACACTGCCCTAATGGCCTCACCCCTGCAGACCCGGGGTGAGGGCATATTAAAGTCAGAGGTGCCACCAAGGAGAGTGGCCAATTTGTCTTCTCCGGAGAGCAAAACCACGGAGAACCTGAAAAAAGTTCTTAGTTTAATTTTTTCTCTACTTGTAGCTGTTTCTGGCTCCCTTACCCCTACCGACCCATCTGATGTTAAAACTTGGCCAGCTGAGAAACTTCTCGGCAGCCGTGTGGCATGAGCCACCTGTCCTAAGCATGTGTAGTTTGGGTGCCTTTGCCGGTGGCAAGTGAACATTTGTCCTGGGAATCTGATATGGTAAATAGGAGCTAGCTTTCGTGTGCCACTGAGCTCTTACCCCCACAAAAGAAAGAGCGCTGAATCCATAGCCTGTCCTTCCACTTGGAAGGTGGTTGCTTCTCCAGAGCTCTTACTACAACCGATGAAGCCTAGCAACACTTAAACTAGAACACACCAAAATGAGCTACAGATCCATCCTTGGGAAATCATGTGTTTGAGAGCCATTTCTTTCATTTGGTTTTGTGTTTTTGCACTCTGTGACAATATGGTATCCACATGTTTTTGACAGATGTCCCTTAGATGTGGTAAGCTGACAGAGGTGTGGGGAGAAGTGAGTTCTTTGGTCGTGTCTTTGTAGGAGGGAAGCAAGGAAGTAAGGAAGGAGGTTTGAAGGGTAGCTCGCTGGGACCATGAGAAGCTGTGGCTTTCGCCTTCTTGCCGCCCGGAGCAATCAGCTGGTTGAGAAAAGCAGCTCCTATGGGCACCAGCAAGGTCTTCATGAGTGGCACAGTGCTGGTGACAGCCAAGTGTCTCATGAAGTCATGCCTCCTGGGTAATTCTAATAGATCACGTAGCTGCTCCGTTTATGGAAAAGACCTTTGTCTCTCATTTTTAGGAAAACTATTACTAAATATTCCTTTCCCACTGGGAAACTGGGAACCATTAACCACCATTAACCAGCCAAGAAATTAAAGAATTATGCCTTCTTTCACTATCCAAAGAGGCAGATTTTAAGAAGCTTTGTGCTGGAATTCTGGTCTCCATCTGGGAGAGGAAATTATGTTTTGTAGGCTTGCTAATAATGCAGCCAGATATTCTGGACTAAGGGGTGGGAGAGGAAATCTGAAAACAGGGTCAACAGACGTGACAGCGGGGACAGGTAAATGGCAGGCCCTTCACTGGGAAATCACGGCAGCAAGTGAAAGCCCACAGCCCAGCTATGAGATTGGATGGCTGTCCTGCCGCGTCCTGGCTGTGCAGCCACAGCCACTTCACCTTTTCAAGACTCGCTCTCTCTCGGGTGAAGCGGCATTGATTCTGCCTGCAGCCAGCAGTAACGCTCAAGTCCAGAAGCAGTCGGCCCCTATGAAATGCGATGTGTGAAATGCCGTCGTTGCGTCAGCGAAGTATGCGAGACGTACAGCCGGCATTTGTCTTATGCCTTCTGTACCACATCATGTCTTATTTGGTCCACATATTGACTAAGCCTACACATGATGTCCTATGATAAATGTCAAAATTCCCAATAGCCTCTAGCCTTGAGCAGACTCAAAAAAAAAAAAAAGTGAGTCTTAAAATCTAAGATTAGGTGTATATGCCGTAGATACATGCCCCACTGCCCATAAATGAAGCGATAGTCTTCATTCAGAGAGTAATAAAAGGAAAGGACAAACCCTGAAAGACACAGAGCTATTTACCTCTGACTGTTATTCTCTCACCACCAAACTTCCTCTGCTGTCTAAGTGTCTTTTCTTTAAGTGTTAGAGGAGAAAGCTAGATTTATTGGACAACAGGGACCATGTGCCCTTTGCAAGTGACAAAATAGATAAGACCTGACCACTCCTCCCAGGCTGTTGCCTCCTCTAAACTACGGAGACATCTTCAGCACACTGTTGGTGCAAATAAAGCATGAAAATGAGAGGCAGGTTTGCCTAGTGGTTAAAGCCTGGTGGTTTGGAGTCAGATCAAGCTGCCTCAGAGTTAGGAATTTGTCACCGCCTTTGACCTTCATGAGCTCCTGGGCGTTCTTCTCAGCTTCCCTGTTTTCCTGATGGACCCAATTATGACTTCCTGGGACCATTGTGCTCATCAGCAGAAGCACATGATGTATTCTTCACAGTGCCTTGCCCATCCTAGCTAGGTAGGATGCTCTCAAGAAGCCATACTAAAAAGCCATAGATAACCCTTGGCAAACCGTGCGACTAGCCTGGGAAAGCCTGTCCCTCACATTGTGCCCACTGACAGGCGTCATGGTGGTTTCTGATGCACAGAAGAAGTGCTTAAAATGTGTGGATTCTGCAGATTACTCATCAGGAGCTTCAAACTAAATCTTTTCTCTTCATCGGTGACCTTGTGTTTTGATTTGTGTTTGTTTTCTTTTTGTGGCGCTGGAGATGGAGCAAGCGTGAGTGTGGAAAGCAAGCACTGTTCCTTCAGCCCCCCAGTTCTTTCTCACTTCATTAAAACTTGGATTGTTCGGTGCAGGCATGACATTAAGCCTGGCTTTCAACGAATGCTCTAGCACCTAGACTACCCCGCTGCTCCCTGGTCCTGCCAAGGACAAACCAGCACCCACTGGGGGAAACTGAATTCCTCATCAAGAATTAGATTCTTGTATTTTTTGCCTCAACATGAAGCAACTTTTCCTCTTTTATCAAAAAGTTTTTTGTCTCACTTCTGGAAGAATCAGATTCTCATTAGCCTGAATAAAAAAAAAAATCTACTATTTTTTAAGGAAAACTGAAATATCTCTATTTGTATTATGGTCTACATACAGATAAAGCTGTGGATAGAGCCAGGACTGAATAGATTTCTTGCTGTAATAAATTCTTGATCTTTTATATTTTATATTAATAAAATCTTGACCTTCCCGTGTGTAGACTGACACAGTTGTATCATATCTGTTTAACAAATATGGCCTATAGTTTCATTAAATTAGTAAACACTGATTATCTATGATCTTTTGGGAAAGCTAGATTTTATAGCAAAAAAAAATTGTTCCTACTTTTTTTGTCTTCCAGGTGAAAGAAAGAAAGGTGTAAAAACGACATAATATAACATTTCTTCAAATCCACATTAGGATGGATAGCTTTTGCCTCATGGCATCCTTTTGGCTGGCCTTGGTGGGAGGTGTAACCAGTGACAACCCTGAAGGACACAGCACCAATCTAAGCAGCCATGTGGAGGACTTCACCCCCTTCCCGGGGACTGAGTTCAACTTCCTGGGTACCACCCGACCCACTAATTTGGCCCTGCCCATCAATGGCTCAATGCACAGCTATTGCCCACAGCAGACTAAAATCACGACCGCCTTCAAGTACATTAACACTGTGATATCCTGCACCATTTTCATCGTGGGAATGGTAGGAAATGCAACTCTGCTCAGAATCATCTACCAGAACAAATGCATGAGGAACGGCCCCAACGCGCTCATAGCCAGCCTGGCCCTCGGAGACCTCATCTACGTGGTCATTGATCTCCCCATCAATGTGTTTAAGGTAGGAAGCTCCACTGGACTTGGTTGACCGCTGACACTTTGCTCTGCTCTGGCTGGCAAGTTGATTTCTGATATCTTGGCGTTTCTTGTTCATTGACGTCGTAAGAGTTTTAGTGTTATGGATTAGACTATTTTCTAACTTAGCTGTTCACGGTATTTCAAGTATGACCCTTAAGATGTTGCTGTCAAATGAGGTAGGTTCCCACGTCAGCGCTCAGCTTGCAGTCAATGACTGGAAACGTTTTGAGATGCAGTTTTTAGGGAGATGTACCAAGCTTCCAAAGAGAGTAAGATAAATGCATATCAGTAGTTTCCGTTATCTTTTAGTGAGATGCTGCTCAGAGGAGATGCCCACAGCAGAACTTGAACTGAAAGCTGCTGTTTCAGTCTGAGGGTCTGGGCGATGTCTGAAACACACAGGCTTGACTCCTCCCCTCAGTACCTGGTGACTTGGAGATAATGAAATCCACCAATAGCATGCCAGGACCGCATTGGTAACCGGAACCATTTTAAATAGTCCTGTTTACTTCTTTCTCTTTTAGCTCTAACGTGTGCCCAGCCCTGAGCTAGGCCACAGGGCTCCAGAGACAATGAAGAAAAGGAGGTGCTTCTGCAGAAAAAGTTGAGTGTCCAAATATTGCTGGGTCACCTTGCCTAGGAGAGTATTTAACCAAAAATAAACTAAAGCCAAAGGGAACAAAATACTCCATATTTGCTGTAGCCATTGTAAGGGAAAATTTTGCTGAAAAAGATTAAAGTACAATAAAAACCAAGCAAAAATTGGCATATGTGTGCCACATTTTAAGAAATGTCTTCACCCTAAACCAAGGAAATCGCTTTTCTCAGGCTTTCCTTCTCTCCTCCTCTCCTTCCCATTTTTCCTTGTTTCCTTCTTCTCCTCCCCTTTCCCCCTCTCCCTTCTTCTTTTCCTCCCTGTTTCCCTGCTTCCTCTTCTTTTTCTTCCCCTTTCCTCTCTCCCTCCTCCTTCTCCTCCCCTTTTCTCTTCTCCCTCCTTCTTCTCCTCCCCCTTTCTCCTCTCCCTCCTTCTCCTCCCCCTTTCTCCCCTCCCTCCTCCTCCTCTTTCTCCCCTTCCTTTTCTTCCCCTACATCCTCTTCTCTAAAGTCAGGCTCCTTCCCTTCCTCCTCCCCATTCTCCTCCACCTCCTCCTCCTCCTCCTCCTCTTCTTCCCTTCTTTTCTTTTCTTTCTCCTCTGAAACAGAAATAACTTATTCTAGATAAATGATTCTCAATCTGTGGGTCTTGACATCTTTGGGTGTTGCAAATCAGATATGATGCAGAGCAGATATTTACAAAACAATTCATAACAGTAGCAGAATCACAGCTATGAAGTAGAAACAAAATAATTTTATGGCTGGGGGTCACCATAACATAAAGAACTGTACTAAAGGGTCATAATTCGAAAGGTGGAGAACTGCTGTATTGGGTGACACAACTTTGAAGTGTTACTTTAAACTACTTTTGCCAATTAAATTATGAGCAGCAAGGTAGCCTGGAGTCCTGGAGTGGCCTCCCTGTTTGTACTGGATATGCTTAAATTACAGTGAAGTCACATGGCGCTACCACAAGCATCAGAGTCCTAGCACTAGGGATGAAAGCCATGTGTGTTTGTTTGTTTGTTTTATTGTTGTTGTTTTGCTTTGTTTTTTTTCCCAGTGTTATTTTTTAGATTCTTTTAATTTTTATTTTATTTTATTAATTACAGTTTATTCATTTTGTATCCCAGCTGTAACCCATCCCCTCCCAATTCCACATTCCCTCTTCTTCTCCTATGCCCCTCCCCCTTTGCTTTGTGTTTGAAACAGGGTCTCTCTATGTTGTCCTGGCTGTCAGGAACTCACAGAGATCCTCCTGTCTCTGCTTCCTGAGTGCTGGGATTTAGGGTATGTACCACCATACTCAGCTGATAATTTTTTGAATGTTAAAAATCTTTCAAAATTGTACCGTATACTTTGGAAAACTAAAGAAATTAGACAGTGAATAATAATATAAAAAAAAAACATACTGTTTCCTTCCTTGTAGTATGTATGAAAGCATATGATTTCACTTTGAACATAAAAGCAGAATTTTGGAACTAAACTGTGAAGCAAAGTTGCAAATGCATAATTAACTGAAAATGTTTAGCATTTGCTTGAAATTTTACTTTTTTCTCTTAAAAAGTTCTTAATTTTCTATTCATGAGTTGCCATAATATCCTTCTTTAGTGATGGATTTTAAAAGCTTTTTATGACTTTTGGTAAAAATTTGACTCGTTAGTCTCAGCTGAGTATTAGTGAATTATTAATTCTTGATTATTCATACTTAGACACTGGTTAACTGGCTCATCTTTGTTCAGGAGAATAATTGACCATCTCTGGACTAACTTGCTGCTTCTGTTCTAGCAGAAACAAGGTCTGTAGATTCAACCCTGTGTAAAGCAGTTTCTCGTCAAACCAATAGGTGTAGCTTCTGGAGAAAAGAGGGGTGGCGTGGGGATGCTGGTGACCTTTGAATTGCTGCTGCCAGGCACCACTGTAAGCTCTTTGTCTGCTCTATGGTGAGTCACGTTAGCTGAGAGATTTCTGAATATCATAGAAATCCAAATATTCTTTATGTTGCATTCACAGAGCAATAGGTAGACGGTGATATATGTTCATCTGACTACACGGGTCTTCCTTTTGGGGACTCTCATGATTGATGGACCTTGTTAGAATTCAAAGCAATGTCGGCAATTTGATCATGGTGCTTTCACATAACATGACTATAATTGTTTAATTCCTTGTTTATAAATGTAACATGAACCACTGGACCAATGTAAGTTTTAGAATGAAACCTTTTTAGATATTTAAATATTAAACATTAAATAATTGTCTCAGTCCTCTTCAGAGAAAAGAAAACAGCCCTTCCTTGAGCTTGTGAGGCCACAGTGGTGAAGAGTTTTCTCCATCTTTTTCCATACTCCTCTAGGTCAGAATACCTCTAGCTGTTCCTCTGAATTCCATGCCACTAGTCAGAAGAAATCCTTGCGGGTAGTGCGAGGTCAGGCCCCAGGTCCTCCTCCCCATGGCTGCCTCCTGCCAGAGCCTCCCAGGGCAGTCAGTTCCCTCTCACATGAGACCCGGATCCCTCTAACCACATCTGCTTCACTGTGTCAGCACCTGCCCGTCTCAATCATTCACTAAAATGGTGGATCCGTGAACTCATTTCACCCTCCTCATTAATGGAACAGTTATGTTGAATGTAGATTGGCTGATCAATCTGCCCAAGAGCTCTGGATGAGCTCTTCGGGGCTGGAGATAGTAGACAAAGTGGAATGACCGATGTCCAAAGCCTCAGCAACTGAGTGGAAAGCCAGGTTGGCAGATCACATCTGCAATCTCAGCTCTGCGGGGTGAAGATGAGTGATCCCAGGCACTCAGTGCTCAGGCAGTAGAGCCAAAATGGTAACTGTGAAGTTCAGTGACAGATCCTATCTCCAAAAACACGTTAGAGGTTCAGCTGAGGAAGACAACCTGATATCAACCTTTGACACAGTACATAAAAATAATAAATAAAAAAGCTTTTTAAAAAAGACTTTTTTGTTCTCAAAAATGTACCTAAAAACGCTGCTGTTAGTGGCACTTGACTACTGTTTGCTTTTACTTGGTACATGAGAACAGGTGAGTTATAAATAGGTTAGTTACCTTTAGCTGAGTCTTAGGCAAATCATGGGTTTTCTGTGAGAAACTTATCTATGAAATAGGCCTCTACCTAAAGGTTTTATGTAGACACATGGTCTGAAACTCTGTCCTACCTCAGTTACTGACAACAATGTCAGTTAGATATTCAGTCTTAAGGTGATCCAAGTCCAAATACATAGGAGTGGCAATGTGGAGACTGTGTCCTAGGGCCAGCCAGGTCAGCCACAGCTAAGCCAGAAGAAAGAGAGGCTCCAGTGGTGAGTGTTCTCTTCACTCTTGCCAGGAAGGGATCATCAGGAGTGTCCCATGAAGCAGCTGCTGGGCAGCGGCGTCACATAGCTGAGCTGCTTCCCCTCTGTCATTAGCCATGCAGTGGGGCCTTGGTGGTTTGTCCATGTCCACGGACGTGAAAGAGCTCTCTGCACACTGAAGTTTAAAGTTTCTTAATTTTTCTCACAATCTCCAGTGTATCCTCCCCCAAAATCTCCTTAACTTCGTTCCACCTCTCCATACCACTTCTTCCAGTAGACCTAGGGAATTCACACTGTGCTCAGCTGTCAAGGCACCCCATACTCTAACTGACCATACATTCTCTGCTTTTTAACACACACAAAGGAAGAGAAGAAAGAGAGAGGGAAAAGGATAATAAAGGAATGCTATTGCCACCCCTTCAATGAGCTTGGATATATCCTATAATATATATATGAATATAATCAGTGATCTTGACCCCAAATAGTTGCTGTCAAGACATTTAAAGATTTTAAGTTAAAAACTGGGTTAGATCTGAAGTATATATGTGACATTAGGAAGAAATAAATCAAGAAATGAAGAGAAATGGCTCCAGACCTTGCTTGCACGCACACACTCACCCATGAGTGACAAGAGAAATCACAAAATCTAACAGAACAAAATGCGAACCAGAAGGAACACAGAAAGCAAGTGAACACCAGTTGCCTTCTGGGTTTTTAGACAAGGGCCTCACAAGTGGTACTGCCGAGGGACAGCCACAGCAAGCTCCATCAAAGGACAGTTGTAATTTTTAGTTGCTCAAGAAACAGATAATATTGTAATTGCAAGAGAAGACTAATAAAAATGGGGAGGGAAGGAATGAGCTTGCATGCTGTCTGTATGCCCAGGCTTGCACCCTATGCTGGGTACACTGGAGATGGATCCAGTTTGTCAGAAAAATACATTGTCTGATATCCCAAGATTTAAAAATAAATAATTTGTCCAAGTATATTAATATTGATCACAAAGCATTTACATGTTAACATGGCAACACAAGGCAAACACCAGCTCTGTGTCTGAGGATCAAAGCTAATG